TTTTTCCAAATGGACCCGATTAGACCCAAATTCTTTTAAACTATCCCGAATGCGTAGGCTACTTTCACTTTCATGTTAAGTGAGGAACGCACATAGAAAAGGAGCATAGCCTACATTTGTAACCTCGCACACAGAAATCATCCTATAGATATGAGATCCATCAGGAAAATCCACTCGCTTCGTTATGGTGCCTGTTCATATAGGGCTTTTCTTTTTTGTGTGCAGAAGCCTTTCGCCGGAGATCAGGCTGCAGACAACACTAGCGAATCCATGAATTATTAGGCTATCGATTAATTTTATTGTCAAACTGTCACATTTATTTTTCAAATCCACTGGTCACAATTGAAAGCCGAGCTCAGAAATAACTTGTATCCATCAGGCAGGCACTAATATAAAGTAGCCTAATAATAAATTGAATAAATGTTAAATAAATCAAAGTATGAAGAAGCGGCCAAATCAGTCAGCAGGACACCAGGATTTTTCCTGACTGACTGCGGGGCTGCAGGCTGTACACACGTCAATGCCGTTTACATGCGTGTCCAGTCGGGTTCAAAATTAAATGCTGTCGGGTCGGGTCGGACTCGGGTCTAATTTCATCTGGTCTGTCTCGGGTCGGGTTTTTCTTTTTTAAAAATGTATTTATTCACATCGGGTTCGGGTAAGAATTGTTTCGGGTCGATTCGGGTCGGGTGCAGATTTTAGGACCCGGGAAAACGTCAGGACCCATCTTGACTGTGCTTATTTCACTCCTCCCCGCACTGTAGCCGCCTACTCTTGCCTAAATTTCAGGCTAGCCACAGCTTAAACGAGCCTATTTGCCCAGAGTAGACGGTCTGAACTTGTACGTGCTAATACCAGTAATCTTCATTCTGCATTCATACAGAGCAGATTACCAGTAATTTACTGGTAATGTTACAACTTCATGTTATTCAATGTTACAATGTTACATTCTTTTCAGCAATTTACTGGTATTTTTAAAAGGTCCTGTTCACACATGATCTCTTTACGGTAATTACCAGTAATTTATGTCTGAATGTCTGAAAATAAAAAAAATCTGTATGAAAATCTGTATGTCCGAAAGGGTGATAAAATAGTCATAACAAAAAATGTGTTAACACATACTTTTTGAGAGTGTTGAAAATCTAAAAAAATGCAGCAAGTTTTGTGTGAGGGGTAGGGTTAGGGAAAGGGAAAAATACATTGTACAGTATAAAAACCATTACGCCTATGGAATGTCCCCATAAATCATGGAAACCAGTTGTGTGTGTGTGTGTGTGTGTGTGTGTACAGGTTTATATATCCTGGTGGGGACTTAAACCTGAATATACACAGACTCATGGGGACTCGTGTCACGGTGGGGACCTAAATTGTGGTCCCCACGGGTACAAAAGCTTATAAATCATACAGAATGAAGTTTTTTGAAAATCTAAACATGCAGAAAGTTTCCTGTAGGGGTAGGTTTAGGTGTAGGGCAATAGAATATACGGTCTGTACTGTAGAAAAACCATTACGCCTATGGAGAGTCCCCACAAGGATAGCTGACCAGACATGTGTGTGTGTGTGTGTGTGTGTGTGTGTGTGTGTACACGCGTTTTTGTGACAAATGAGGACATAAATTTGTAAATTTGTACGTACAAAGGTATGACATAGACAAGGAGAAGGTGACTTTTCAGGACATTACCACATGTCCCCACTTTTCAAAACGCTTATAAATCACACAGAATGGAGTGTATTGAAAATCTGAAATAGCACAAAGTCTCTTGTAAGGGGTAGGTTTAGGGATAGGGTTGGTAAAGGGCAATAGAATATATGGTCTGTACAGTATAAAAACCATTACGCCTATGGGATGTCCCCACTTTTCACAAATGTAAACCTGTGTGTGTGTGTGTGTGTGTGTGTTTGTTTACTTGAATCTCATGAACCTCAGCCCTTTGCACCGAATCGAGCGGTCTGAGGAAAATCTTGAGCACTCGCGCGTCCGCTGGTGAACATGAAAACTCGTGCCGTTGTATTGGTGTGTGTCCTGATATTTCACGGATCAAGCGGCGGTAAGACGACAAAACAATACTGAAAGAACTGCGAGCGACGCAACACGAGCTAAAACGCTCCCGGTTATAATCAACTGGCTTGAGCGCACTGACGGGAGTGTTCGTGGGTGTCGCGTCGCTCGTTTATCGTTACTGACACAGCCTGTTAAATGATGTGCGTGTCAAACTATCTTTAGTTTGGTTCTTGTTGTTTTCAGTGTTTCTTGATAAAGATGACGCCAGCTCGGTGCTGCAGCGCGTCAGGCGCGCAAACTCCGGCTTCCTTGAGGAGATGAAGCGCGGGAATCTCGAGCGCGAGTGCATCGAAGAAATCTGCGACTACGAGGAAGCGCGCGAGGTGTTCGAGGACGACACGAAGACGGTACGTAATTCTCAATCTTAGTATTCATTTGATAATTGATTTTATTTTTAAACGTTGAATATGTTCCTTTTCTCTTTTGCAGAAACAGTTTTGGCTGAGTTACTCCGGTGAGTTTATGTGTCAATTCATCAATTTATTTCTGACATTATTACTGTTTTGATGACAGTGGTGACGATATTAAATGACTACAGTATTAAAGCCCTTTCACACCAAGAAATGTAACCAACCAGTGCCATGCGCAGATGCACATTATGAGGGCAGGAGGGTCCCCCTCGTAGAAATCGCTCGAGCCCCTCCAGCCCCCTGTGCACGCCACTGACTGTAATGATACCAACGACACCAACACACCGTAATATTCTGTTTAGAAGCGCACTGCAGATTTGTCGTCTGTCGCTTTAAATGCTAAAGCTCTTTAAAGGGGTCCTATTATGCTCTTTTACAAAGTCTTGATTTTGTTTTGGGGGTGTACTAGAACATGCTCTCATGCTTGGTGGTTCGAAAAACTCATTATTTTTCACATAATTTACATTATTAAAATACCTTTCTCCCCAGGCTGGCACAAACGGCTCGATTAGTTCCGCTTTGATGAAGGTCCACCTTCCGAAAAACAAAATGTGATGTGATTGGTTAGCTGTCCCAGTGCGTTGTGATTGGCGGTGTTTCAGTACTGCCCCGCCTCTTGCTCTGTCTTTCAACAAAAGCTTTTGGCGAAACCGGCACTTCTCACTAGGGATGGGCGATACCTCTTATTTTATTTTCGATCCGATACCGATATTTTCAAGCCCAGTATCGTCGATACTGATACCGATACTTCTAAACTAAACTGATCTTTTAAATTATTAAAAGAATATATAATCAGTAATTATACTCACTTAATATTAGATTTTAAAGCCATGTTTTTTAACATTTCATAGGCCTTTTTTGTTTACACTTTTAGAAATAAAATATACTATAATTATATATTTTAGCCCTTTAATGGGGCAGTAACCTCAAAGGTACGGAAGTATTTTCTCGTTATATCGACATAACGAGAGTTGTTTTCTCGTTATAACGACTTCATTTTCTCGTGATCTCGACATAAAAAAGTTGTTCTCTAAGTTACAAAACTCCGCCAACAAGTGGCACTATTGACCTGAATATAACTGATGGGGTGTTGTAGGCTATACTGTATGTCCACTTTACTGTACGCGTTTGCGATAGAATATGAACGACCTCGTGATCGCTATAATTTGTGCAGTATTGTTCATTAGGCTATTGACATTTAATTCATTCATAAATGTTAAATGCTTGAATCAATATGACTATTTTATGTATTAAGTTCTTGCTAGATGCATGAGTTTCACCAACGCGTTCTGTGTCATAAAATAATAACTGCTTATTAAAACCAAGGTTGACGTCACTGTATTCTGTTTGCACCTATATCTTTATTTGTGCTTCTTTGAGGTACATTATTGTTAGTTAATAAGCGGGGATGTTCTGTTTGTCTACAGTAGGACAGGCTTCAACGACGTAGGCTATTTGTAATGTGCCTCTTTTCCTTATTATTAATCTTTATTGTTAATCATTAAATGTATATTGATAAGAAATGTGATTTATATGTAAAGTGTATAGGCTAATTTAATTCAGTGATGTTCTACAGTGTTGTAGAGTCCCCACAAGGATAGCTGTCCAGACATGTGTGTGTGTGTGTGTGTGTGTGTGTGTGTGTGTGTACACGCGTTTTTGTGACAAATGAGGACATAAATTTGTATGTTTGTACGTACAAAGGTATGACATAGGTATTACAAGGAGAAGGTGACTTTTCAGGACATTACCACATGTCCCCACTTTTCAAAACGCTTATAAATCACACAGAATGGAGTGTATTGAAAATCTGAAATAGCACAAAGTCTCTTGTAAGGGGTAGGTTTAGGGATAGGGTTGGTAAAGGGCAATAGAATATATGGTCTGTACAGTATAAAAACCATTACGCCTATGGAATGTCCCCATAAATCATGGAAACCAGTTGTGTGTGTGTGTGTGTGTGTGTGTGTGTACAGGTTTATATATCCTGGTGGGGACTTAAACCTGAATATACACAGACTCATGGGGACTCGTGTCACGGTGGGGACCTAAATTGTGGTCCCCACGGGTACAAAAGCTTATAAATCATACAGAATGAAGTTTTTTGAAAATCTAAACATGCAGAAAGTTTCCTGTAGGGGTAGGTTTAGGTGTAGGGCAATAGAATATACGGTCTGTACTGTAGAAAAACCATTACGCCTATGGAGAGTCCCCACAAGGATAGCTGTCCAGACATGTGTGTGTGTGTGTGTGTGTGTGTGTGTGTGTGTGTACACGCGTTTTTGTGACAAATGAGGACATAAATTTGTATGTTTGTACGTACAAAGGTATGACATAGGTATTACAAGGAGAAGGTGACTTTTCAGGACATTACCACATGTCCCCACTTTTCAAAACGCTTATAAATCACACAGAATGGAGTGTATTGAAAATCTGAAATAGCACAAAGTCTCTTGTAAGGGGTAGGTTTAGGGATAGGGTTGGTAAAGGGCAATAGAATATATGGTCTGTACAGTATAAAAACCATTACGCCTATGGAATGTCCCCATAAATCATGGAAACCAGTTGTGTGTGTGTGTGTGTGTGTGTGTGTGTACAGGTTTATATATCCTGGTGGGGACTTAAACCTGAATATACACAGACTCATGGGGACTCGTGTCACGGTGGGGACCTAAATTGTGGTCCCCACGGGTACAAAAGCTTATAAATCATACAGAATGAAGTTTTTTGAAAATCTAAACATGCAGAAAGTTTCCTGTAGGGGTAGGTTTAGGTGTAGGGCAATAGAATATACGGTCTGTACTGTAGAAAAACCATTACGCCTATGGAGAGTCCCCACAAGGATAGCTGTCCAGACATGTGTGTGTGTGTGTGTGTGTGTGTGTGTGTGTGTGTACACGCGTTTTTGTGACAAATGAGGACATAAATTTGTATGTTTGTACGTACAAAGGTATGACATAGGTATTACAAGGAGAAGGTGACTTTTCAGGACATTACCACATGTCCCCACTTTTCAAAACGCTTATAAATCACACAGAATGGAGTGTATTGAAAATCTGAAATAGCACAAAGTCTCTTGTAAGGGGTAGGTTTAGGGATAGGGTTGGTAAAGGGCAATAGAATATATGGTCTGTACAGTATAAAAACCATTACGCCTATGGAATGTCCCCATAAATCATGGAAACCAGTTGTGTGTGTGTGTGTGTGTGTGTGTGTGTACAGGTTTATATATCCTGGTGGGGACTTAAACCTGAATATACACAGACTCATGGGGACTCGTGTCACGGTGGGGACCTAAATTGTGGTCCCCACGGGTACAAAAGCTTATAAATCATACAGAATGAAGTTTTTTGAAAATCTAAACATGCAGAAAGTTTCCTGTAGGGGTAGGTTTAGGTGTAGGGCAATAGAATATACGGTCTGTACTGTAGAAAAACCATTACGCCTATGGAGAGTCCCCACAAGGATAGCTGTCCAGACATGTGTGTGTGTGTGTGTGTGTGTGTGTGTGTGTGTGTACACGCGTTTTTGTGACAAATGAGGACATAAATTTGTATGTTTGTACGTACAAAGGTATGACATAGGTATTACAAGGAGAAGGTGACTTTTCAGGACATTACCACATGTCCCCACTTTTCAAAACGCTTATAAATCACACAGAATGGAGTGTATTGAAAATCTGAAATAGCACAAAGTCTCTTGTAAGGGGTAGGTTTAGGGATAGGGTTGGTAAAGGGCAATAGAATATATGGTCTGTACAGTATAAAAACCATTACGCCTATGGAATGTCCCCATAAATCATGGAAACCAGTTGTGTGTGTGTGTGTGTGTGTGTGTGTGTACAGGTTTATATATCCTGGTGGGGACTTAAACCTGAATATACACAGACTCATGGGGACTCGTGTCACGGTGGGGACCTAAATTGTGGTCCCCACGGGTACAAAAGCTTATAAATCATACAGAATGAAGTTTTTTGAAAATCTAAACATGCAGAAAGTTTCCTGTAGGGGTAGGTTTAGGTGTAGGGCAATAGAATATACGGTCTGTACTGTAGAAAAACCATTACGCCTATGGAGAGTCCCCACAAGGATAGCTGTCCAGACATGTGTGTGTGTGTGTGTGTGTGTGTGTGTGTGTGTGTACACGCGTTTTTGTGACAAATGAGGACATAAATTTGTATGTTTGTACGTACAAAGGTATGACATAGGTATTACAAGGAGAAGGTGACTTTTCAGGACATTACCACATGTCCCCACTTTTCAAAACGCTTATAAATCACACAGAATGGAGTGTATTGAAAATCTGAAATAGCACAAAGTCTCTTGTAAGGGGTAGGTTTAGGGATAGGGTTGGTAAAGGGCAATAGAATATATGGTCTGTACAGTATAAAAACCATTACGCCTATGGAATGTCCCCATAAATCATGGAAACCAGTTGTGTGTGTGTGTGTGTGTGTGTGTGTGTACAGGTTTATATATCCTGGTGGGGACTTAAACCTGAATATACACAGACTCATGGGGACTCGTGTCACGGTGGGGACCTAAATTGTGGTCCCCACGGGTACAAAAGCTTATAAATCATACAGAATGAAGTTTTTTGAAAATCTAAACATGCAGAAAGTTTCCTGTAGGGGTAGGTTTAGGTGTAGGGCAATAGAATATACGGTCTGTACTGTAGAAAAACCATTACGCCTATGGAGAGTCCCCACAAGGATAGCTGACCAGACATGTGTGTGTGTGTGTGTGTGTGTGTGTGTGTGTGTACACGCGTTTTTGTGACAAATGAGGACATAAATTTGTATGTTTGTACGTACAAAGGTATGACATAGGTATTACAAGGAGAAGGTGACTTTTCAGGACATTACCACATGTCCTCACTTTTCAAAACGCTTATAAATCACACAGAATGGAGTGTATTGAAAATCTGAAATAGCACAAAGTCTCTTGTAAGGGGTAGGTTTAGGGATAGGGTTGGTAAAGGGCAATAGAATATATGGTCTGTACAGTATAAAAACCATTACGCCTATGGGATGTCCCCACTTTTCACAAATGTAAACCTGTGTGTGTGTGTGTGTGTGTGTGTTTGTTTACTTGAATCTCATGAACCTCAGCCCTTTGCACCGAATCGAGCGGTCTGAGGAAAATCTTGAGCACTCGCGCGTCCGCTGGTGAACATGAAAACTCGTGCTGTTGTATTGGTGTGTGTCCTGATATTTCACGGATCAAGCGGCGGTAAGACGACAAAACAATACTGAAAGAACTGCGAGCGACGCAACACGAGCTAAAACGCTCCCGGTTATAATCAACTGGCTTGAGCGCACTGACGGGAGTGTTCGTGGGTGTCGCGTCGCTCGTTTATCGTTACTGACACAGCCTGTTAAATGATGTGCGTGTCAAACTATCTTTAGTTTGGTTCTTGTTGTTTTCAGTGTTTCTTGATAAAGATGACGCCAGCTCGGTGCTGCAGCGCGTCAGGCGCGCAAACTCCGGCTTCCTTGAGGAGATGAAGCGCGGGAATCTCGAGCGCGAGTGCATCGAAGAAATCTGCGACTACGAGGAAGCGCGCGAGGTGTTCGAGGACGACACGAAGACGGTACGTAATTCTCAATCTTAGTATTCATTTGATAATTGATTTTATTTTTAAACGTTGAATATGTTCCTTTTCTCTTTTGCAGAAACAGTTTTGGCTGAGTTACTCCGGTGAGTTTATGTGTCAATTCATCAATTTATTTCTGACATTATTACTGTTTTGATGACAGTGGTGACGATATTAAATGACTACAGTATTAAAGCCCTTTCACACCAAGAAATGTAACCAACCAGTGCCATGCGCAGATGCACATTATGAGGGCAGGAGGGTCCCCCTCGTAGAAATCGCTCGAGCCCCTCCAGCCCCCTGTGCACGCCACTGACTGTAATGATACCAACGACACCAACACACCGTAATATTCTGTTTAGAAGCGCACTGCAGATTTGTCGTCTGTCGCTTTAAATGCTAAAGCTCTTTAAAGGGGTCCTATTATGCTCTTTTACAAAGTCTTGATTTTGTTTTGGGGGTGTACTAGAACATGCTCTCATGCTTGGTGGTTCGAAAAACTCATTATTTTTCACATAATTTACATTATTAAAATACCTTTCTCCCCAGGCTGGCACAAACGGCTCGATTAGTTCCGCTTTGATGAAGGTCCACCTTCCGAAAAACAAAATGTGATGTGATTGGTTAGCTGTCCCAGTGCGTTGTGATTGGCGGTGTTTCAGTACTGCCCCGCCTCTTGCTCTGTCTTTCAACAAAAGCTTTTGGCGAAACCGGCACTTCTCACTAGGGATGGGCGATACCTCTTATTTTATTTTCGATCCGATACCGATATTTTCAAGCCCAGTATCGTCGATACTGATACCGATACTTCTAAACTAAACTGATCTTTTAAATTATTAAAAGAATATATAATCAGTAATTATAAAAGGCTGCCAGGCTGTTGTATCCCTAAAGGTGAAACGTTAGCTTTTTTTTTTTCTGACAGATTTATTAACGGCAATTACAGAACATAACACAATCCATTTGAACTTTTAACAACCAGTTTAATTAAGTTTACTTGCACAAACTAGCCAATTTAAAATAAATATTACATGTACACAAAAGTTTGGGGTCAGTAAGATTTTGTAATATTTTTTTAAGTCTCATGCTCACCAAGGCTGCACTTATTTGGGGGGGGGGGGCAGTAAAAGCAGCAATATTGAGAAATATAGCAAATAAAAATAACTATTTTAATATATTTTAACATTTATCTGTAATCAAAGCTGAATTTTCAGCATCGTTACTCCAGTCTTCAGTGTCACATGATCCTTCAGAAATAATTATAATATTTGTTTTAACCACAACCTCGCCCCTCCCCACCCCCCAACCATTCGAATTTCTGTAGGCGGGAATTCTTTGTAATGAAATTCTAATGAGCCGCTTTGTGATATCACAAAGCCCGGAAAACAAACGCTGTAGTCCAAACGAGCCGTTTGTTGTAGTTCTTGAAAAGGGATTTAAAAAAAAACAACTAAATATCTCCCTTTGGAGTGGACTTTGAGATTTGTAACTTTCTAGATCTTTTTTATGCCCAAACATACACACTACACACTGACTAAAATTAAAAAAGTGAAAAAGCATAATAAGACCCCTTTAAAGTCGTATTCTGATTGACTGTCAGTGTTTTTATTGTTCATCAGCTGAAAAATGTTTAGATGTTATGTTTAAATGTTTTTAAAATGATTCCAACAATATTGTTATTCTGTGTCATTATTGTTATAGTTGTCGTGTGGACCTCAGTATTCTCATAGAGGTAGAATGCTCATTTTAGTTATTGGTATTGTTATAGATGGTCTATAACTGTAGAGAATGGCTTTTATTGTAATATTGACTATGGCAAATATGGTACTGTAACAGTGACACTCTTGTATAAGAGTGTTTTGATTTCATTACAGGTGATTACATGTACTACCTCTCTGGATGACAACTGTATTGACATGACAGTATTTATTGACCTAAAGTCAAAGGTTCTGTATCTTCAAAAAATGCGTTTCAGCTCAATTCTTGATGAACACTTTAGAAATGTAGGTGTTTCCATGTCAAGTGTTTGCTTTTTATTTTATTTTTATATTTTATGCTTGTCATTCTGTTTAAATAAGCTAAGGAGCCCTGCTTGACCAATCCGTGCAAAAACAATGGCTCATGCATCTATCTGGCCAACACCTACTACTGCCTGTGTCTGGAGGGCTTTGAGGGCAAATACTGTGAAAAGGGTACGTGAACATCATGACACGTGTGAAATAAGCAGTAGTTCATATAACGTTGCTGTTTTGAATAGTAGGGTTTGAGGAGACGCTTAAGTGTCAGTATGTGAACGGAGGCTGTGAGCAGTTCTGTGACGCTTCCGGACCCAGACGTGCATGCAGATGCGCTGCAGGATACGCACTGGGAGCTGATGGGATGTCTTGTGTTGCTGAAGGTGGGAAAAGTCCTGTGTTTATGAGCTGGAGAATAAAAATGACAAAAAACTTTACAGATGTTCAGATCTCTCCAAGCGTATTCAAAAAGTAAAGTATTCACAATACTGTATACAAGACATATAAAACTGTCAGCAGGCAATCTTTTGTCAAGCCAACATTCAAAGTTTCTCTTGCCAAACTTTCTATTTCAAATGTGTTTTGTCTGCAGTTGAATATCCATGTGGAAAGGTTCCACTTCAGAAGAACACCGTTCATTCCCAAAAAGAGTTTGTGGGTGGAATTCACTGTCCCAGAGGTCACTGTCCTTGGCAGGTAACTGTAAATGTGCACAACACATCGCAGTGTCATGACGAGTGATCAAATGATTTATGAGTGTATTATTTGTCTCAGGTGTTGATAGATTATAATGGTGAGAGTCTGTGCGGAGCGGCTCTTCTGGATGATAACTGGGTCGTAACTGCTGCTCACTGCGTTCATCAGAAAGACATGAAGCATTTGAAGGTTATTACAGGTATATGAAGTGTTTCTGTCATTGTGGGTTGTAAAGTCAAGTCACATTCATTTCTGTAGTGCTTTATACCAGTGGTTCTCAATTCCGGTCCTGGGGACCCACTGCTTTGCACATTTTTTATGTCTCTCTTATCTGACACACTCAGTTCAGTTCATGGATCTCTCTCCTAACGAGCTGATGATCTGAGTCAGATGTGTTAAATAAGGGAGACATGCAAAATGTGCAGAGCAGGGGGTCCACAGGACTGGAATTCAGAACCAGTGCTTTAAACAATACCAGTATTTCAAAGCAGCTTCACAGAAATAAACAGAAAAATAACAGTGAAACAACTTCATTTTCAGCTGTAAAGTTGGTTTGTCCTCAGGTGATCATGACCTGGATGTGATGGACGGCTCAGAGGAGGTGTATAATGTCGCTCGTGTGGTTATCCATAAGAACTATGACCCTGTGTCACTGGATAGTGACTTGGCCCTCCTACAGCTACGTGAAGAACCCAAGCACTCAGTGTACACCGTGCCTGTTTGCCTCCCCACACCACACCTGGCACAGAGCGAGCTTGCGGCCGTCCGCTTCCACACACTTAGTGGATGGGGCAAGCGAACCCCAGGGGACAACATCCATCCATCCAAAGGCCTTAAAGCCCCATCATCCGCCACACTGCAGCGACTGGCTGTCCCTCTGTTTCCCACAGCACAGTGTGTAGTGAAGAGCGGCGTTAACATCTCTGCAAACATGTTCTGCGCAGGGTACACTGAGGGCAGCCACGAGTCCTGCAGAGGACATGATGGCAGTCCGCTCGTCACACGCTACGAGGGAACGTCCTTCCTGACGGGCGTCGTGTCGTGGAGTAAAGGCTGCAGTCAGCCTGGGAACTATGGGATTTACACCAAAGTGGCCAACTTTTTGAAATGGCTTGAGATGGTTATGAAAACACCCATCGAACCACTGAATATCAGTGGATCCCCATTTAAGCCATCCGCTCACAAATAATGTCTCTACCAGAGGTTAATGTGATTAGCTTTGAAATAAAACCATCACTTTGAGTTTGTTTATGTGTGTTTTTGTCATTCATGCATCTGATCTTCTTGCGTTTAGGTTTTAGGGATCATTCAGGCATGTTTGAGGGACAGTTAGGCAGTCATTAACTGAAACCGCATTGATTTTTTTGTGCAGATGTTGCTCTGGTCTAATCATAAATCAGACGTGACCCTGTGTAGGGTCAGATGTGAGATGTTCTGCACATTTTGTGAACTATGTTAGTCTGTATAAAATACAGATAAAGTTCATATATTCCAATAAAAGAAAGTTAACAGCTCATTTTCTTCTCTGTGAACTTTAAAGAGGACAGAAAATATTTAGATGATTAAACTATTGACAAAGAGGCGGTTTTTCACTTGTTTTAACATTGCATCACTAGCTCTTTAAGATCATTCACTTGTATTCCTCATTTGTAAATTGTTTTGCATAAAAGCATCTGCTAAATAAATAACCGTAAATGCATTAACATTAGACACTTAATGAATCACTGACATTATTGAAACGTGTTCGTGAGGACTGCACTCTGCACTTCTGTCTTCTGCACTATATTCATGCCTTCTGACGTCCAGTGTTTTGTGTGAGAAAAAGAGCTGAAGTTATTCCCTGATAATCTTCTGCTTGGCTGCGGTTCTCAAATCTCTTGTGTTTGTGTAGAGAACATCATGAATTCATCAGAGTGGATTCATGTAGTTTATTGAGTTCTAAACTGAAATATCACATGTCGTAAGAGTAAACAACGTCACAGTTGCCTCTTTATTTGAGCAAATGTTGGTGCTTTTCACTTTGTCCTCTTGTCAGTTTCTCCTCCCCTTGTTCCTGTGTCTCTCTCTCCCAGCATTCAGTTCATTGACCTTCTGTTTGTTTTCTGAACGATCCTCTAATGTGAAAGAGCTGAACGCTGACAAAAGACAATGTCTTGGGTCTTCTGGAATTTTCTTTTCTTGTTTCTAATACACTGTGTGAACTCAGAAGGTGAGTGTGTCGTCTCGAATGAACAGACTGCAGATTCAGAATGACTCATATTTCTCTGTTTCTGACCTGAAGGTTTGTTCTTTAAGGTCTAATCAATGTCAGTTGACATTGTGAGTTTAACTGTATTAATGGGTTTGGTTTATTTCTCAACACTAAGCTCTTCTGCTGCTATCAGTCTCTGGTAGAGGAAGGCTTTGATGATAATGAGGATGTCATGTGTTTCTCTAGTCTTCCTTCACATTCAAGATGCCAGTCAGGTCCTGAGTCGGCGCAGGCGCGCCAACACCATGTTCGAGGAGATGAAAAAGGGAAACATGGAGCGTGAGTGTGTTGAGGAGCGCTGCAGTTATGAGGAAGCCAGAGAAATCTTTGAGGATGTTAAAAAGACGGTCAGTGGTTTGCTTATTCAGTTTATTGGTTTATTTTTAAAAATATTTTATTGAAAACATTCAGGAAATCATATGTACCACCTTAGGCCCCAAAAAACAGTCATAACGGTTGCAGACATCAGCTGTTTCTGCCACGATGCACATAAATGTTAAAAAAAATTGCATAAAAAACATATGCACTCAATTGAGTTGGTTAATTTTTAATCCAATAAGAAGTCGTGTATAAACTATGATGGAAACAAATTTAACAAATAAATTCCTTGATGTGCATCAAAGAACTCATTTGACTTTGCCAAAACAGATCATGTGATTGGATAACTGGACTAACCAGCGCAGAAATCCCATCGCAATATTGCATCTCAAATGTTATTTTAAATCTGATATTGCCTAAGTCGGTCATCAAAATGATTTGAAATAATCACCTCCATAACTGTATTATCACATGATCTAAATGCAAGATAACTCTCTGGTTATTGAAGTAACCTCGGTTCCCTGAGAGAAGGGAACGAGCATTGCATATGAGGGACAACTCCTGTTTACCCTGATACTGAATCCTGATTTGTTAACGTTTGTGTAGCTGCACAAACAAATGGCACTCAAGCCCACCAGAATGGGCGGAACCGACCTCTATATAAGTCGGCTCAGAGTGCCATTCCATTAAACTCACTCAACTGAAGCGACAGTCATAGATTCACATGCAGCTTATAGCACGGCAAGTAATTCAATGCTTGTTCCCTTATCTCAGGGAACCGAGGTTACGTAAGTAAATGGAGCATTCCCTTTCGACTGTTCACTTCACGTTGTGTATGGGGAACGGTATCCAATCACACTGTGCTATGAGCAGATACAGAACGACCTGCTTAACAAAGAGCACTTAACTTAAGGGCACCTTAAGAACATGAGCCAATTGAGTCCAAGCCACAGCTGAGGATTACAGATAAAACTGTTTCCACCCTCTGGGAGAAACCAGCAGTTTAAGCAGACAAAATCCATGCCTGCAAGGCAGGGACATCTAATCTATAAAATCTGGCAAATGTGGACGGTGACGACCAGCCGGTGGCAGCACAAATCTCACCAATAGAGATCCCACTGGACCACGCCCAGGAAGAGGCCATTCCTCTGGTGGAATGGTCCCTCACACCCTATAGGGTATTGTGAGCCAACCGAGGCTTTAGCCAGGGCTATAGCATCTACTATCCAATTAGAAAGTCTTTGCTTTGTGACCGGCAGCCCTTTAGAGCGGCCTCCAAAGCACACAAAGAGCTGCTCCAATTGTCTGAAAGACTTAAATAGCTTGGCGTATAGTCTGAGTGCCCGAACTGGGCACAGTAAGTTTGGACCCTGCTCACCATCCACCACAGGGAGAGCCAGCAGCGAAATAACGTGGGCTCTGAATGGGGTTGAGAGCACCTTAGGTATGTAACCGCTGCGCAGTTGGAGAATGACTTTACAGTCGTTGGGTCCAAACTCAAGACAGGAAGTGCTGATGGACAGCGCTTGCAAGTCACCTACTCGTTTGACCGAAGCTAAGTCCAAAAGCAGAGTGGTTTTGAGTGTCATGACTCCCATCGAGGGGCCAGACATGGAGGCTCCACAGCTCTGGCTGGGGATGTCAAATTTTGCCCTGCGCTTGTGAGAGAAGCTGTCTTCTTAGCAGTATCGGCCACTTGGCTACTGACAGCAACTGAATCATCTCTGGGAACCAAGCCTGCTTCCTCCAGGTTGGGGCCACCAGAAGGAGAGAACATTTCATTTCCCTGACTTGCCTGATAACCCGAGGGAACAGAGTGATCAGAGGGAATGCAGAGAGACGGGTGTTGGGCCAATCGTGGGCCAGAGCTTCCCACTTGTTGAGAAATAGATTGGGCATTGACAGTTGTCTTCAGAGGCGTAGAGGTCCACCTCTGCCTTGCCGAAGACTGACCAAATCATCTGTACCGACTGGGGATGTAGTCTCCACTCTCCTGGGGCTTCATTGTCCCTGGGCAGCATGTCCGCACCTTGGTTCAGTTTGCAGGGCACATGAACTGCTCTTACTGAGAGGAGTTTACTCTGTGCCTAAAACAGGAGACATCCTGTAAAGGGGGACGTGACCTGAGGCCACCTTGGTGACTGATATAGGCTATCACAGTCGTGTTGTCCAAATGGACCAGACATAGTTCAAAATGTGGATTCCCATCTGTCTCAGAGGGGAAAGAGCCACGTTCACGCACTTCGAAAGGCAGGACTGTATATTGATAGGCCATTTCCTCAACAAGTGGAAACAGTCTGTGACTTTGGGCTATCTGGATATGAAAGTACGCGTCTTTCAAATCCAGAGTCAGAAACCAGTCCTCGGAACAAATTTGCACAAGGATCTGTTTCAAAGTTAATATTCTGAACAGCCATCTCATGAGAGCAGGATTCAGACTTCTGAGATCAAGAATTGGTGTGAGCCCACCATCTTTCTTGGGAATGAAGAAGTAGTGGCTGTAAAAACCCCACTCGCTGTCCACTAAGGGGACCTGTTCTATAGCGCCCTTCGCAAGCAGTGTTTTTACTTCGGCCTGAATAACATGTGCTTCGTTCGTTGTCCAGTACAGAAGTCCGAATGACGCCTCTGAAGCGAGGCAACCTGTGAGCGAACTGAAGCGAGTACCCTCGTTCCATGACTTTGTAGGATATCAGACCGAATCAGACAATCTAAGATTTGGTCAAAAAAACCGAGTTGAGGCACGAGGAGTCACAAAAATTCCACAGAGGCCCAAGACAACAGGATGTCATAAATCAGACCCTAGCCTCTCTGAAGCAAGCCTAAACCTAAACCCCTGTCACAGAACAGTTTTCAACATTAACACAAAAGAACACATTGACAAGTCCAAGGAGATTGTCAAATTTTGGGGCAAGTTATCAAGAATAATGGTCAAAAGAGATGACCGCATGACTATCACACGAAAATCCAACTTGCCACTCCGGGAATGGCTTTCCAAGCTGTTCTATTTTTATTAGTGGCAGATCACTATGTGGGGATGGGGTGCTGACACTTGTGGTTATAGGGAGAGGAGAAATGCTCTTTTGAGTATGTGGGTCTGCTATCACAGCGGAAGTTTGTTGGCACACTCGTTGAGCGTGCAGAACGTGTCCCACTGAAAAAACTCCACCGCTCGGAAGGATTCGAAGAGGTGGGGAATGATCTCGAGCTTTCTTCAAGGGAGTTCTTTCTTCAGCCCTTGTCTCGCCCGGCCTGGGCGAGAACTAGCCCTCTCCTCTTCCTCTCTGCTTTCGGATCAGGATGGCTTCTGCAGCTCTGGGTCCAGCATTACGCGAGGACGAGGACCGTGGCGCTTTAGGAAGGGGTACGTCCTGGCTGCCCAGGGGCGCTGTTGAAGCCCAGGCTCCGGCTTTGGCGGGGCTGAGGCGGCGCCGGCTTGACAGACTGCTGGGTTGATGTAGCCTTGGGGCGACTTGTAACAGCTGCTGAGCTGGGGTACTTAGTCAGAAAATGATGCAGCACTTGCGACGTCTTTTCAGCCTCGTTAAAATGCTTCGTGAACCCATCCACGGCAGGCCCGAACAGTCCCTTGTGTGAGACTTGGGAGTCAAGGAAGGCCATCTTCTCAGCGTCCCTTATCTCCGTGAGGTTGTGCCATAGGTGGCACTCCAGCGCCAC